TCATCGCGGACACCACGCCACGCTTCCAGTAGACTTAACCTGATTTTAATAAATCAATATTAACACATTAAAGCATGCACAAGATCTCCTGTATACTACGACGATGAATAGAATCATTACAAAGTACGTGGGTCCCATTGGGGCCGCTTGACGTCCACGCACGCAGAAATCTCACGTCTTGTGGCAAGTCTGCCAGCAAGCCGTCAACCAGTTGTGTTCGCACTGTTTGTCCCAAGTTGTCAACATGTATTGTTAACAGTTTTAACAACCTTGTTGCAAGGTTGTTCCAACAAGGTTGTTCCCTAATATTTAAACTTACCTGTTTTCAAACGATTTAAGGCTAACAGGAACACACTATAGGAGAAAAAGAAACACTATTAGCAATAAGGCAATACACCGGCCCATTCGATAATTACGTCACACATACTTTTGGTCCTGGAGCCTCGCTCTCATCAGCAAATTACGCAAGGTGATTGGCTCACGATTCATGAGAGCGAGGCTCCCAGGCCAAATGACGTAATTATTTAAAGGGTGTATTGCACGTCCAGTATTGCCATTTGAAATTGGATGAATTTTTAGGAAGGTTTGTGAGTTTGACTTGTTTAGGATTTAAGCTGCGGATTATTTTTGGACATATTAGTGTCTATATTGAACTGATGACTGATCTTAGTATATGTACCAAACCCATATCCTATGATTACATTATCATAACAGGGGACTGGTGGTAATAGACCTTTTTAAGTGAAATTTCATCACAGCTTGAAAGAGCATCACAAAATTAGTAATATTCCGAAGTTTCGTTGCAAAATGTTGTAAAATGCGGATAATATAGCCTTGCGAAGTTTGCCGTTTTTCAGTCATTTTGCATTACAATCTAACATTTTGCATCAGTTTGATCATCTGATGCAAAATGTTAGATTGTAATACAAATTAAAATGACTGAAAAACGGTAAACTTCACAAGGCTATATTATCCACATTTTACAACATTTTGCAACGAAACTTCGGAATATTACTAATTTTGTGATGCTCTTTCAAGCTATGATGAAATTTTTGTCCAGGCTTGTCTAGATCAAAATTTCACTCATAAGGGGAAAGGTCTATTAGGTAGTTAACTATATGAGTTATCTGAAAGCATAAATTGATTGGCATATTTCGACAAACCTGCACCCTCCATTTTCCATTTTGGTCAGAGAACAAGACATATTTAATGGGTACATCAATACTGAGTTTCTCTTCCAAAGTAAATAAGTGGTCCTTCCATGGACATCCTCCTTCGATGGAAATTATCTCACCACTGGAATCAACCTAACAACAAATAATTATATAAAACCATCTAGCACTTACGGACTGCAATTAGTTCTATTAGTGGATTTTCAAAACACATTTGATTACAATCAGGGCATTCAGAATTATTCTGAGTAGGTGGCTGTGTTGATAAAGTAGGCGGCTGTGAGGAGGGGTCTAGGGAGTCTTATTAAAAGTCATCCAAATTAACTATAGGTATATTGATTAGATAGCAACAGAACTGAGCTATACTTTCATTCTTTAAATAACTAAAATCAGTTTTACAAAATAGTATGCAACCTCGTACAAGGATGAATAGTATGGTTGAGGAAAAATAACTTTGTTTGAAAGCTTAGAGTGGAGGAAGGAGAGCAGAATTGATATTTCAACTAAAACAAAGTAATCGGCACGGTGAACCTCTTGGCACGTGCCAGAGCTCTGTTGGATCGGTCAAACATGAGCAAGACTTGCAACATTCATCAACTTTCTCATTTTACAATGGTATAGTATTAATATAAAAATTAAAATGATGTTCTATTTCATGCAGTATACCTCAAATCTTTTCTCAATTGCTGTTTGTACAATTGTTCTTGCTGGTAGCCACACATCTTTAAAATAACTCACTGTTTCCAAAAACTCCTCTTCAACCATCTTCATTGCTTTGGCAAAACCTGCCTAATTGAAGACAAGGTGAAAATCAACAAATTGGCTGACGTGGTTGTGCATGAATTCTAAACCTGGAAAGATTCTTTCGAAATGATGAAGATAGGTCAAACACCAACCACATGAATTTATCAAGAGTGTAGATCCAAACACTGGACCTCCATGTTTGATCGAGGTACGTAACATTCTGGAAAATTAATACATACTGCAACATTTTATCACACTAGGTATACCTCAGGGTCTGGATTTTTGGCATTCCATTTTGGATTTAGTGCTCCGACTCTTGAACTGATGTTTGTTGAGATTGAATATCTGTAATGAATTAATGGAAAAATTTATAGCCATATATACTGTAAGAATGTGAACACACAGTGGTGCTGCCCCCCCCCCCTTTTGGCGGCACTGGTATTAGGGGAACTGATAGTAAACTATCAGGTAATCTCATGCAATCTTTATAATATCACGCATAAATAAGCACAGACTGTTAAAGACTGTTAAAAAAACGATCAATGCACATTGACAGATGATTCAACAACCACAGTACCTTGGTTCACCTTCAAACTGGTCAACTCCATTATCAATTGCATCGATTTCTTGAATAAGATTTTCATACACCTTTGCATAAATTAAATCAACTGTCGAGTCATCTTTATTTACTTTCATCAACTGTGATAGAATGTCTTTTCCAAAATGAAGATAAACCAAACCAGCACTGCTTAGCTTAATCTCCCATTTCGTGCCAGCCAGAGAGTTCATAGTACCCGAGAAACTCCTACAATATGTCAGAACGGATAACGTTTTGGGTCATTCCAGAAAACATGCATACAGTACTTCTCCCACGGAGGAAATTGGATAATACATGCTAATACACTTACTATTATCAGAAACAAATTTTTCATCCCTCCCCGCCCTCCGGATGGCAGAAATTTCCTCTGTGGGGGGAGTGTGGATATTTTTGGAACAACTTAATCAGACAATGACAATGTGTGTTATGCCAAGCTTTGTTTAATTATTCCAGTATTCTTACATTATCAGAACAGTAATGAGGCAATAGAGAGCATAACCCATTAAGCTGCAGAGCTTCCCCATTGATGAGTAAAATCATCTGGCATTAGACAAGTAAAAAAAATAAGTAGGGTGCATTGTGGCTCAATGGGTTAGCTAGAAACATTGTCAGATTTTTTGGTTAACCCACTTAACCCATTAAGCTGCAGAGCTTCCCCATTGATGAGTAAAATTGTCTGGCGTTAGACAAGTAAAAAAATAAGCAGGGCGCATTGCGGCTCAAAGGGTTAAGCAAGCAACATTATTGATTCACGAACGCCGACTGGATTAGAGCCGTTATAGATGGTGACAGCCATTCTTGTTTGAAATCATGAATGTGAAACTGCATTGATTTCAAGCATGAACTGATGACAGCTTACCTCACTGACACCAGTACCATCACCTTGCCTTATATAGGGATTCGTTTTTCGAGATTGAGAGACGTGGGCTTTAACTGATGTCAGATACATGAAAACAAGGCTCTGCAGCCAAAGTGACATACTTTCCGGAAGTGTGTAATGACTAACAGATGACTGACAGACAGTACCTTTGGTGATGATCGTATCTATGAGACGCAGGTTCATATTTCCCCCCAACATCAACCACTATATCACACGTCTTTAAAACGTTTTCATCTCTCGTCCGTATAATCTCGGCATCACCATATTCCGGCAACTGCTTCAACATACAACATGCTAACACCTCGTCACAGTGGAACGTCCCACTATGAGTGCCGATTGTCTTTCTTGAGTTTTGCTTCTTTGTTGGCGGTTCTGTTGCCATCATTGCAATGGGAAATTGCTTTCGAATGGTCCCTATTTTAAATGTTAGCTTTCTTAGTAACAAAAAACAAGGGGGAATTTGAAGAGAGAGAATGTTGGGCTTTAATAGGTCTAGATTGGTTTATACCACAGTACCATGAAATCATTTGGTATATGGTAGTATGTAATATGGGCCACTGGCCACATGGTACCAATTTATATTCATACAGAAACATAGGCACTTTACAGTTAAATTTATCATATCAAGAATCACATGCTTTACAAACCTTTTAAGAAATTCCTACAGAAAACTGCAATTTTTATGCCGATGAAATGAAAACACTTTAGCCGTTCAGTTAATGCAAACAAGTCATCGGATGAACATCAGACACACGTGTTTTGTGAAATTTTAACATTTCCCCCTGAAAGTGTTAGGTTTACCTAAAAGTTACGGGGGGTTGTTTTACCATACGTTTTTTAAAACGAATAAAAATTCCCCCTGAAAATATCTAATTTGACTACTTATAACGGGGGGTGACGATTTTAGTAGAAATTTACCTTGTCAAAAGTGTTTTCCCCGGCAAAATCATGTGCATAAATTATTTATAGATTTTCAGATCAAAGTAAAAGGTCTAAAAGCAAAATATCGACAAACACCGATCTTAAAATTGTTTGGCGCTTTGTTTACACTGTTTAAAACGAAGCCCTTTGGGTTTTCGCTTTCATTTTGTGTGCAAAACAGGCAAAATTTACAACAGATATTGCATAGTGGTTGACTGCATGACTTGTTGACATTATCAGTCGCTATAACATTTTCTATGAAATTGTCTGGGAATTTGTCTGGGTAAACTCCTCAACCTAAGTTATTTGAAAGAGAGGCAAGTATATCCCAATTCTTTAGTTCTTGGGACTGGAAGATATTATTATAAATTTGTGTATGAATATAGAAAGCTGTACACTTAGAAATGTTTTAACGGTTGGCGGCTTATCAGATTAGTTTGAGATTATTGTGTGGGGAATATATTGTTCAAATACCTCTCATTGTGCTAGGATATGCGTATTATATTGATATAATCGATGTGCATTAACACCTAGCCAAATTTAACTGTTTAATAGTCAGCACAGCCAGATACAGGTAGTCAGGTACGTTTAAAGCTGATTTACACTGTGAAAGTTCTGGACTGATCACAGTAGGAAATTTTGCACAGGTAAATTCTACGTTTTGAAGGACTAATTGTAAGAAATGTTTGAGGGAAATGACTCTGTGTCACTGATTCAGTTCTCTCGGACATTTCTTACAAATCCGTACTAATGCAAAATTCCTACTGTGATCACAGGAACTTTGATAGTGTATAAAACCAGCCCTTAGACACGGCGATTTGTCATGCTGATACAACTACCTGGAAAATATAAGCAGAACCCATTGAGCACCAGCGCTCTCTCCCTTGACGAGTAAAATGGTCTGGCATTAGACAGAATAAATAATAAAGTAGGGTGCAATGCGACTCAATGGGTTAAGCATGGAGTGCATTCTATAAATGTGTTCTACTTTATTATTTTACCCTGTCTAACTCCAGATGTTTTTACTCGGGAAACTGCTGGCACTCAATATAATGGTTAAATTAATGTATATTATTCTATCTAGCATTTATGGCAAGGGAGAATGGAACATCGGAGAGAATTCTCGATACAAGATTGGAACTTCATATTTTGGAATACAATCTAAGAATGGCAACAATTGCCAAAGATGCGATTGCAAATTACACACATTATCTTATCAAAATTGCTTTGTTGCCTAACTCAAGGTATAGAGAAGGCATGGTTTAATGATTTAACCCATTAAGTTGGATAAATGTGCTCCAATGTCCCCTAGTGTGTTATTCTACTCTGTTGATGCCAGACGATTTTACTAATTGGCAAGGGAAAAGCACTGGCCCTTAGAGAGAGAGAGAGAGACTTTATTTATAGAGGATGACACTTGACAGTACGAATACTGATGACTCCGTGGTCCTCTGGAAACCTATGTGCCTAACCCACCCATGTCAACTTTCCCTGTGGGAGGAAACACGGAGTACCCGGAGAAAACCCACGACTTTCGGCAGAGCGTTGACTTTTACTCTTTTCACATGAGACCTGGGTTCGAGTCACATTGAGAAGTTCTCACTGAGATTCGAACCTGCCGCCTTAGAGGTGAAAGGCAAGTGTGCTAACCACTTACCCTGCTGTTAAAATAACATTGGCCTACGTAGCGGCTCTCAGAGAAAGGAGATGTCCTTTCTCCGTGATAGCCGCTACGCAGGCTAAAATAACATTCACTTGAAACAACTACCTTTTTCCATGTTGTATTATTATAGGCCTGGATTTTTTAGTTTTACTGAGTCAAAGGAAGATTATTCCTTAACATTGGAAGAAAAAGCATTCCAAGGCAAGTCCCTAAATCATACTATTTTTCATGACGACAAGGCAGTGCGACTGTAATAATCCATACTGTATGGAATAGCACAAATTTCGATCTCTGGCTGTTATGTAATCCAGATATTGAATATGTTGTATTTCACACAATATTTATAGAACTTCCTAAAAGTTCAGGTCTCAGCTGTTCTGAGTGTTTATGGAATGTCCTGACGGTGTCAGCTGGTGCGATGGATTGCTCGGGTCATGCCATGGGAATCAGCAAGATTGTGAACTCTATCATTCTACCTCTGGCGGACAATGGCGTATCACTGTTCTGTATGTCGACATATCAAGGAGATTTTATTTTGGTAAATAAATGCACTTCTTAAACTCAATAATTCATGAGAAAATCACAAAGGAAACCAGTACCATTTTGTTGTCTTGATGCTATAGAAATAAACGCCTATAAATTAACAACCTATCACCTCAAATACAAGTCCCTTTTGAGAAGTAATATATTAATAAACTTGAAAGCTGTATTAAGGTGTATAAAGTATGTGAAAAAACTCAGCTATCAACTCGTTTTTCAACACACTTTTCGCCTTTTACACTATGTGCCAGTGATAAGCGGTTTCTCGTTTGTTGTATATTTCATCAACATTTTCAAAATTAAAGGATGAATTTTATTGCAACCCGGCAAGAACAGCCCAAAATGTGTCCATGTTATTGGGGTTGCCATATTAACAAAGTATCTTCATAAGGAATTTTATTATTGTCTTGGACGAACTTGCGTGCGTTTGTACTAACAGTAAATTAAAACACTAGTGCCTCTTCCGATATCCTGCCATTTGCAAACTTTTTTATCAGGTAAAGCAGGAAGATTTGGTGATCGCTATTCGTTGCTTAAGTGGAAGATTCAAAATATTTGACGAAGCAGGATACCACAATCTCGCACCAAAGATAAATGACCTGGAATCACGACTGGATGATTATGACTCAGGTAGCATGAAGTATTGCAGTTTGAAACCAATTTTATAATATGAATGGCCTTATTACTTACTGGCTTAATATCACTTGTGAAACGTAGTATCCAGTGTAGGCAGTTTTCTACAATGAGCTGCAGTGGTTTGTGTCTGAAAAAGATACCTGAAAAAGATATCTCAAATGTAGGGGTCCAGTCTAGGTAGTATTCTGCACTAGGCTGCTGTGATTTGTGTCCGAACTACCAGAAAAAGATACTATCTAAAACGTGATGGTCCAGTGTAGCTAGTACAGTACTCTATATACTGACAATAAGTTGCTATGGTTTGTAACTTTGTGTCTGAACTACGGTACCTGAAAACGGAATTCTGGCGTTTGAAAACCAACTTCTGCCATTTGAAAAGGGCGTTCTGGCATTTGTAAACGGAGTTCTGGCGTTTGAAAAGGTAGTTCTGCCATTTGAAAACCAAGTTCTGCCATTTGAAAAGGGAGTTCTGGCAATTGTACAGGGAGTTCTGGCGTTTGAAACCTTTTCAAAGGGAGTTCTGCTATTTCAAAAGGGAGTTTTGCTATTTGAAAAGTGAGTTTTGCCATTTGAAAAGGGAGTTTTGCTATTTGAAAAGGGAGTTTTGCTATTTGAAAAGGCTGTTTTGCTATTTGAAAAGGGAGTTTTGCTATTTGAAAAGGCTGTTTTGCCAATTGAAAAGGCAGTTTTGCCCTTTGAAAAGCCAGTTTTGCCATTTGAAAAGGTGGTATTGCTATTTAAAAATGGAGTTTTGGCATTGGAAAAGAGAGCTCTGGCATTTGAAAAGGGAGTTATTGCGTTTCCTGAAAAAGATATCTCAAACGTGGTGGTCCAGTGTACAGTAAGTATAGTACTCTACATACTGACATGAAGTTGCCGTGGTTTGTGTCTGAACTACCGAAAAAAAAAGATCTCAAATGGGATGGTCCAGTGTAGGTAGAATTTTAAGTTCAGTATGATATTAAAAAGGATGAAAGTCCTTTAAAATAGCAAGTGTTTCGTTTGTAGATTGTCGTAGTCATCCGTTGGTGCATTCCATTGTCAGTCCTTTGAATCAGTTTCACATTATCAGTCTGAACAGCCAACATTTCCAGTCTCTGATGCCAACTCTTATTGATCTCATGTTTTATTCAAGGTAATTGTTTTACAAAGAGTTAATCTTCACAAACTAGGGATGGACCAGCCACATCTAGGGTTTTTTTGGTGGACGGGAGGGGGGGGGGGGTGCGCGACTCCATAATCACCAGAGGGAGCTATCGGCTGCAGTGTTCTAAGAAAATTATCCCCTAGCTTGGGCGAGTAAAGTAGGAAATGCGCGAAGAAAAAATGATGGTATTTGAAAAGGACTTTGGTGTTTTGCGAAAATATTAAGATTTGGGGCAACTCTCGATCAAACTACAATCTTTGCCAGAAACTATGGGACAGCTGCTGTAATTTCATATAATTTGAAAGGAATAGCGCCCCCGTTCCCCCAGTTCAATGTTGGGTCAACAAAAATCTGATGTCTGGATGCGCGGCGCCAACATTGAAACGGGTGGGGGGAGGGAGGGTGGAAAATATGTATCAGGAAATGGTATATTACAACCGAATGCATGTGAAAACTAGATTGTCCCAATCTATATTGTCAAAGATTGTAGATGTTTGTTGGAAGGTTTTTGTAAGTAGAAATTGAGAGTGTAAATTGTGGCCTGCGATTCCGGTGCAGCGCTCTAACCCATCGAACTTGAAATTGAGCGACTACAATTTTATCTTCAGCAAGAAACGTGACATGTTATATTATATACTTTACTTTAAGCACACGCACACCGCCATCAGAAGGACACGAAACATTTTTCCATTTTTCATTCATTGATGGAGATCTGTCTGTTGTATTGGATGACAAAGATTTAGCCAGGTGAGCCTAGCTTTGCTTTGGAGTTTAAAAAACTGCATTCCTTAAGTCCTGGTCGAACGAGGGTGAGAGTTGAAACTCTTGCTCGCGGCGTTTGGCCGCCAACTCTCGTCAACTGTGAATGGACCTATTCCCTAATGAACCAAATTTTGATCTAGACAAATCCGGACAAAAATTTGATCACAGCTTGAAAGAGCATCACAAAATTAGTAATATTGCGAAGTTTCGTTGCGAAATGTTGTAAAATGCGGATAATATAGCCCTGCGAAGTTTGCCTTTTTCAGTCCGCATTTTGTATTACGCACACGGGAAATCGATATCTTTTTTCAGAAAGCGATATCAATTTCCCAAACGGCAAACTTCGCAGGGCTATATATTATCCGCATTTTACAACATTTCGCAACGAAACTTCGCAATATTACTAATTTTGTGATGCTCTTTCAAGCTGTGATGAAATTTTTGTCTAGACTTGTCTAGATCAAAATTTGGTTCATTAGGGAATAGGTCCATTGGATTGGTTGGTTCAAATTTTGATGAGAGTTTTTGCGTTTGGAAATATCTAGTTATCTCTCATCAACTCTCGTGCAAATCTTGTTCTCGTTTGGCCGAGGCATGAGACTCGCGCTTCTCGATACTCGTATATAAACTTTCCGTTTGAAAATCAAAATTTGATTCACGTTCAATTTACGAGGGGCGTGCAGCTCTTGTTTCAAATATAGTCATAAAGACATCGAGTGAATATTCATGCCTTTATACAATTTTCAACAATCTTGTAATTTTCTTTAGAATTCCAAGTAATTATTTTTACACAAGTTCATTTCGGGAACAATGGAGGATTATTAAGATTGGAGAATATCCTCTTGGATTTGGTGAGTGCGATGTACTGTTCTACAGTATTTTAGTTTTAGTGCATGGTGTTTCACTGTACTTTGTGTAATACCAGATGATTTTATTGATTTTTGTCGGCATTGGGCATTAATCGGATAATTCTCCGATCCGAGTGAGCGTCATCAATTTCCAATCTCGCTATCTACAGACCTTTTGCTAAAAGTGCGCCCTATTAAATTGAAATTTACATGCTCATATTAGTCTACACCGAACATTTCGCGTTATTTGGACAGTTAGGTCGTGAGTTATGTTTTGAAATTGCGAGGGGGGGGGGGGTTGTATGACTGTAGTTTGAGAATGCCGGTTTCACTCCAGCGACGAATTCCAGTCAATAGGAAAAAACTAAATTTTTAATTTTCGCGACCTAATTGTCCAAATAACGTGAAATTTTGCGGTACAGGCTAATTTGAGCGTGAAAATTTCAATTTTGGGGTCCATTTCTGTCCAATACCAAGATTAATAGCGCTAACTCGGATCGGAGTTTTAATGTTCAATTTTTCTAGATGAGTACGGAGTGGTTGCCCAAATTGCTGAACCATTGGTAGAAGCAAAAATTACAACTTTCTATATCAGCTCATGTCATCTTGGAAATACACTGGTATGTTGGGGTTTTTTCGTAAATATTTTGCTGTCAAAATCTTTTTTACCCAACCTCAAACATCAATTAAAATATAAATACCCACCCCTGGCCAAAAACTTTACAAAAGGATACCATTCAGTTGTCACACATTCCTCTCCACTTCTGTGACATGAGTTTGATAACTGCTTGTGCAATTTTTTGCAGTTTAAAATTTCATGTTGTCTGCACATGTACATTCTTTGGAGACACCATTTACCTCCCGACAAATCGGAAAATGATCAAGATATAGTGATTCTGATTGATTTACATATTATATTGACATATGACTGTTGGCATTGCCTTTTAGTCTTCAATTTTTGAGTGAATCATGCTTTGGAAATGACGATAAATTTTCATTACCCAACTCTTGAGTTGTTTTGTTTTTCATTTACCCAACCTTTTACTCACTCAGAATTTTGTTTACCCAACCCTTTTCTCTTCGGTGCCACCCCCATAAATAATGACCGGTCCCTAATCAACCATTCCCGATCCTAGGTACCAGAAGAAGACCTCACGAAAGCATTGGCTATCCTAAATGAACGAAGGAAGCGAGCACAGTGACCCAGGAGTAAATTAGCTGAATCCAGGTGAGGCGTATAATTACCTTGCTTAAAATTAGGGTGCGTGCAGCCTTCCCAGAATGCACTGGACTGCGCAGTCTCACGCGATCAAGGCTAAATGCGGAAAGGAAAAGCGAGTCGCTCGAGCAAAGATGAACTTTCGTAATTTTTGGGCCCATGAATTGATGCTTTTTCATTTTGATTTGTGATGAGAGATTTTCTGAAGAGTTACTAAGAACACCTGCTTACATTTCAAAGGCAAGGACTTCCAAATTCATGAACTCATAATTAGCGTTTTGCTCAGTTAAACGGACAAATAGTTTTGGAATAGTTTAGATGAATGAAGCATGCTTTTATGAGCACCATTGAACCATTGTAAAATTCTACTAATATTTAGTAACAAGTTGTACAAAATATTTGTTATATTTATATATCGGTATTTATAATGAGAGCTTATATTATATTAAATTCTCACTTCAAATGATGGTATTTATACGTAGTTTTCATTGACTTATCTACGCTGGAGAATCTGGCCTTAACAGTTTTAAGTAAACTGTAGGTCTAGTAAGGGTCAACTATTATTGGTACACGGGAACATAACTAATCTAATTTTACATATACTGGATAGCTGTATCAGTTATAAACTGTTCTTCTTATAGATGTTCTTCACATGAGCAATATAATATGCAAATTCAGTTTACTCTGCCCGGCAAAACAAGACAAACTTTTCAGTGCTAAAATTCTCGTCTAATTTTCATCCAAATTTAACTAAAATTGAATCATTTTGTCCTTGGGCATGTCCATTAGAACCACACATTTTCGTATTAATAAATTGGATATTTTTAACGTTATCTCGCATACACAAACACACATAGAAACTCAAATGAAAACATAACCTGCATGGTTCGTTCCGCCCGCGCACCATCCTCCCGCCCTAATTTCCCGCCCGCAAGAAACCGGCTGCACGGCAGCGATATAATAAATACCATTTCTGACAAGGCGCCATAGACATAGTCTTGTATAATCTATCACCTCGCCTTCAAATTAAATTTTCACTTGATGAAATTTCACTTCATTTAAACGATTTTCACCTGAAGAATCTTTGCGAAATTAAAAGCGATTTATTTGCATTGTAGCCTGCAGGGCTTTGTTTTGTGAAAAACCTGAAATTGATCGTCATTGACCCGACGACTATAGGTGGGGTACGTTATATATTTAACTGGATGCATAAAGGTTTTGAAGCTGAATGTGGCGAATAATTAGACGTGCACACTCTATTGTTGGCAACGATCCAATATGCCGTAAACAAAATTTAATTCTTGCCACACTATAATAAATTTCGTCGTATATTTTCGATTTTTATATACCAGATCTGACAGGTGTAGGCGTATTTTAATATCAAAACGTCAAAAAATTGAAATTTTGTTTAGTTTTTTTTGAAAACAGCAGTTTTACATGCATTAATAATGCCTACAAAGCTTTTAATTACACTTCCTACCCTTGGGAATCTCGCAATTTTTTTTTAATAAATTTCAAAAAACAGCTGTCTTGATTATTTTTGAAAAAATTACACTGACACTTGAAGGCTGGTTTTGACTTGGTGTTTTGAGAGACATCGGTTATTTGGGATACATTTAAAAAGCTGAGTATATGTGAAGGTATATATAGTGCTATATTATTAACTGCTTGTTGAAGTTTTTTTTGTTTTAATGTTTTGAAATGCTTAATTTATTGAATATAATATCATGTGTGAGCCGGAAAGTGTCCTATATGAAAGTGGCGAAAAGCAATTTGTGATTTTGGATTATACGTATAATTATACTCGCTTTTTTCTTGTGCATTCGCTAGAACATATACACAAATTGTAAGGATATGTATAATTATCGATATGTTTGGTTTAAATGCAAAAAGGCAATCCGTTAACCGATATAATTGAACGTTGGTTATCTGATAATATGTCGAAATGGAATATACTATAGTTTAAAACTTATAGTTGAATTAACAATTCCAAGGGGTTACAGCCGACTTCAAAAATCAAGTGTAGACAAGGCAATGCAGCTACCTCTCTAAACCTAGATTTACTGGCTAACATGTGAAGCTAGCTATCTAAGCCTTGAGTTAATGGCTGTGCTGGTATAGACTAAGCTCAGTGGGAAGATTGCCTAGCTCCGCCAATATAAAATCAACATGCAGTCATGATATAAAACGCGATAATCCGTAAAGGTTCTTGGAATAGACAATATATGCGTGAGAGTTGACAGCTGTACGCATGTAGGCTAGGTAATCTATAGATAAGCACGAGGGCATTATATACGAGGGCTATATATACTTGACATTTGACAATGTTTTCTTTGCCAAGGCTCGAGCCTTGTTCCAAAACTAGTCATACCAGCTTTTGGACAAGAAAAATCTGTTCGTGTGTAGGGCCGCCAAGGAGAATTTGACGAGTGTACAAAAAATACTTCTATGGTTTTGGCAAACAAAATGCGACCTTGACGTGAGATAAATGTTTAACAACATTTCATGCACACGAGCAACGAAACCAGTGGCGTAACTCCTTTGGGACTTTGGGAGCCGCCTGGCTCAAGCCAGGGTTCGTACAAAACTTATCCTGAATGGAGAACTTGTCCTGAATGAAGTCCTTGAATGTCCTTGAATTTGAAAACAAAAATTCAAGGCGTTGAATGTCCTTGAATTTATAAAGAAGTACTTGAATGTCCTTGAATTCTTCTTTCGTTAGTTTTTGGATATTTTCTGAAATTGTTTGACATTCAAGACGGACATTTTGTTGAACTGATTTTGCATGTTCATATCTGACCTCATTATAAAGTTACGTTTTGAACAATTCAACGTCAGATTTTGCTGATTTCTAACGCCTTCTTCTTCAGTATGTAGTCCTTGAATTTGCTGATACATGGCCTTGAATGTCCTTGAAAAGTCCTTGAATTTGACTCTTTCTCACATGTACGAACCCTGGCGAAGGCCCTTGCGTCCATAATAATTTTTATGCCTTAAATTTTTATGCCCCACTTTGGTGGCAAATAATATGGTTAGCGCACTTGCCTTTCACCTCTAAGGCCGTAGGTTCAAATCTCAATGAGAACTTCTCAATGTGACTCGAACCCAGTCCTCATGTGAAAAGAGTAAGTCAACGCTCTGCCGAAAGTCGTGGGTTTTCTCCGGGTACTCCGTGTTTCCTCCCACAGGGAAAGTTGACAGGGTGGGTTAGGCACATAGGTCTGGAGGCAGATCATTAATGAGGTATGGACTAATAGCGGCTGCTCAAGCGCCATTTGTAAGCTCAAAGTCTACCTCGGTCTGCTTCAAGTCAGTCCGGTTCTATCTATCTATTCATAATGTAACCAGTCACTGAAAAGCTCTGATAGGGAGTGTGCTGTGAAATATCTGTAATCTGTAATCTGTAATAATATATATATATATATATATATATATATATATATATATATATATATATATATATATATATATATATATATATATATATATATATATATATATATATATATATATATATTATACCTCAAATTCAAATTGTCCAATCAGGAAGCTTAGTTTGTGCCACGTGAGCATGAAATTAATCGCGATATCACGCCTTACGTCATCAATTAGCGAGCCTGCGTTCTTTTTGACAATGTTCCACCCCATGTTCCCCGGGGAACATGGGGTGGAACATTATTCGCGTAGACCACGCGAGACAACACGCATGACAACAACATGGCCGACAAAATATAAATAGTATTGATGAATGATGAATAATCTTGGTAAATGATGTAAAACCTGGGGGCTTTTTCATAATTTTGAAGTAAATTTTGAAAAATGTTGTCATTAATATTCCAAACGATATGTGATTCGAAAGAAAAGCGACGATACTTGCGTTAATCCGAAAATAAAACATCGTATTCACGAAGGTATGTGTCATGTTTTTATTTCTCAACTTGGAGGCTTTTAATTTTCGGTATAATATATCATTTATAGACCCTCCGCTCGGGGAATTCGGCGAAATATTACCCTCAGTGATGATATTTCCCTCGGGGCAAAGCCCCTCGGGAAATATCATCACTTCGGGTAATATTTCGCCGAATCCCCCTCGCTCCAGGTCTATAAATGATAAATATTGCACTGTGTCCAACTAGGGATCCAAGGATAGTGTGAAGTTTCGAATTGAAAAAGACACTGCAAGAACTATATAGGGTTGCCGACAACCTAGAAAGGCTGATGGCTTACACTACGAAATAAACAGTTACCAAACGCATTTCATCTCATTATCTATTTTATAATGCGTTCGGCACATGAGTAACGCCATGTTTGAAACAAGCCTAACAGATCAGAAACGTGCCTCGTGGAACTGATACAATTTATTTATTTATTGTGATGCTACACGCGACAACTCGAAATTTAAATTGTGTCACCAACACCCAAATTTTGCATATTCTAAATCTTCATTTGTATTTGCAGCTGTCGCTAAAAGCATCCTAACGAGGCTACTGATACGCTGAACTTATTTAATATGATTATTCCCATCACCCAAATAGCTGTATAAGATATGTTATGAATAATAAGCACTACGACGTTGTATCATTAAAAGAACGCATTTTATCCCCATCCGTTCTATATTTTATCCCCATATCCGTTCCGTGGATCCGCTCCATCCGCTTCCGCATTTTAACCTAATTGTGACATGTTTCACAATAACAAGTCTGATTGACCTTTGACTTTATATTCGCAATGGCAATGTCACATTGCGTTTCATGAGTCATTTTCAGCTTTTCGCGTGTATTCAATAATGTCACTTTAGATTTCAATAGTTTCACAGTTATAGCAGTGTTTATAGCAGTTTTAACAAGCTTTGATACGGCTCTGTGTACAGATTGATTCTCGTAAGATCTGGTAGAGTTATCGTTGCACTGAACACGAGTTTGCACTGTTGACGTTGTGCTAGACAGTAAACAAAGTAAGTTTTTGACGGTACACGTTG